GAGAAGAGAGAGAGAGGGAGAGAGATGAGAGAAAGGAAAGAGGAATGAGGCTGAGGAGAATTGAAAGAGGAGAGAGACGAGAGAGAATGCAAAGAGAGAGAGACGGAGAGAATGAAAGAGAAGGAGAGAGGAGAGAGACGAGACGAGATGAGAGAGAGCGAGAAATGATGAAGGAGAAGATGAGCGAGAGAGGAGAATAAAGAGAGAGAGAGAGAGAGCAGATGAGAGAGAGAAGAGAGAGAGAGAGAGGAGCACTGCGCACCAGTGAGCTAGCGAGCAATTAAAGATGCAGCGTGGTACGTAATACATTTCAAATAACGAAGACGCGCATTGTTTCGTACATTGATTCGTAGCAACGTTGAGTTATTTGCGCTCGTCATTGTGTAAAGCAAGCATCGTACCATCATCTAGATTCCATTCGCTGCGTCTGTTCGTGCGGATTATAATCGTGAGGAAAGCCAACTCTGGCTTTCACAATTACGTGCCCAAATATTGCCGATTCGGAGCTTCATCATTTCATGCGAGATGTGCCGTGTATCGTGCTGCAGGTTTCGTCGGCTACCAGGAACTACCATTCATTTCTCGGGTTGCCAAACGAGGGAGGTATATACGATCTATCACGCCAAAAGCTAATATAATCCGCGGCTCCCGCCAAATGTGCTTCGTGTAATGTCACGCCGTCTCCCTTTTGATCTAAATGTCACCCCCTACTCCTACCTCCTCCCCTAGGTTCTTGCCGTTATCATCTCTTTCTCCTTTTTATCTCTCTCTCTCTCTCTCTCTCTCTCGCTTTCTCTCTCTCTCTCTCTCTCTGCTCTCTCTCCCTCTCTCTCTCTCTATCTCCTTTGCTTCTTTCTTTTCCTTGTCTTTCTTCCTCTCGAACTCTCTCCCTCTCTCGCTCCTTACCTCTCTATTGCCTCTCTCTCCCCCTTCTCCTCCCCCTCTCTTTATCTCTACTTCTCTTATGTTCTCTGTCTTCCCTCCCCTCTCTCTTTTCCCCATCACTCTCTTAGAAAAACACTCTCTACTAGCAGCTATACTGTACAGACATGGCGTAGAGCTATTAACTGTTAATCAGCATGGCCCGCTTAAGCAGACGCCGTTTTACTGCCGTCCGCTATAATTTATTCATGTCTCAGTCGGCCGTATTCCATTCGTCGTACATCTTACCCCCCCCCACCGTCCCAACAGACGAACATGCGGCTGTGATTGTTGCTTAATTAAGAGACGCTAGGGATGCCAGAGAGCGGTGCATGCGGAATGCAGGGTATGCAGGGATCGAGGCGCTTAGAGATGGCAGGATGCGATGCTGAGATGCGGAAGCAGATGTAGAGATGCAGGGATGCAGGATGCGGGAGGATGCGGGATCATGGAATGCGGGGATGCAGCGGATGCAGGATGCAGGGATGTAGAGATCATGGATGCGGGCTCATGCGGAGACTGCGGGAATCAGGGAAGTTAGAGATCATGGATGGGGGATGCGGAGATGCCGGGAATGCAGATGTAGAGATGATGGGATGGCGGGATGCGCGGCATGCGGGCGATGGGATGCGGGGGATGCAGGGAATGCAGGGTGTAGAGATGCAGGGATGTAGAATGCAGGGATTGCGGGATGCGGGATGCTGGATGCGGGGATGCAGGGATGCAGGATGCCAGGGATGCAGGATGCGGGGATGCAGGGATGCGGGAGCGAGGGACGGGGGTGCGGGATGCGTGATGCGGGATGCCAGGGTGCAGGAGTAGAGATGGCAGGATGCGGGATGCAGGGATCGGGAAATGCAGCGGATGCAGGGATGCGGGATGCTGGATGTGAGATGCAAAGATCGCGGGCATGCGGAGACAGATGCGAGGGATGCGAGAGGCGGGATGCAGATGCGGGGATTGCAGGGATGCGGCGGATGCAGCGGATGCAGCTGCCTCTTCGGCCATCAATAACTAAACGTTACTAATGTCAATCTGCTGCGGGAAAGATTTTCTGCCAAATGTATATTATAATGTTATAATTAACATTATAAAGTATTGTAGATTCTGCTAATTAATGCCTCCTCTAAGCATTCCTGCCAGTATATTCGCGTATGCGAACCACACTTCGGTTTCGTTCCGTCTACTCTCATGCGCTACGTAGAATAATATCGCCATCTTGCAACGCAATTATTTCAGAACGTTAACCCTTTTAGCCTTGCTGACGTGTTTCAGAGTGAGTCCCAATTTAAACGGCCCGCTAGCTTAAAGAGATTGTAAAATGCGTCATAGGTGATTTGTCTGTAGATAGATAGATTGCATAAATTACGTAGTTAGGAGAAGAGAGGCGGGTAATATAATAATAGCATGGAATCGCCTGGTGATGGTACTGCCGCTATCGTTACAAACTCGGTAACGGCTTCTGTCAATCTTCAGTCGGTCTGTGCGGATTGTATTACGGAAATCGCCGATTCCGCTGCGTATTCAGTTCGTCAATTCCGCCCAAGAAAGCGCGCTTAAATACTGCGCTCAACTTTCCTTTATCAATCAATCCACTGATTCATTACATCTTGTATTGGGACTCGGGATTCAACGAGCTAAAATAGTGCGTAGAGATCGTGGGAAGAGTGGGCGTGCTTGGTCTTTGAGCGGCTTCGTGCCACGTTTTTTTGGTCGGACATTGACCGAAATATATTGTCGACGACAATTTCTGACGTTCGTTTTTGCCGTGATATATGTTTTTGGTTAAAAATTCGTTTGCCCTCTGCGTGTTTCTTCTTCATTTTTGCCGAGGTAATTGGACAAGCAATTTCTCGAGAGAGAGCCCTAATATGAGGGATTAAATACCAAGTGACTCTCCAAAGGCGTAGAAAGAATGACGGCGCAAGCCATCTACCTCACTCGTGGCAATCGTGACATGTTACAAAACAACGTCTGTGTGTGTGGTGTGTGTCTGTGTTATATGCCTGTGTGTGCCTGTGGTGTGTGTGTGTGCGTGCGTGTGTTGATGTGTGGGTGTGTGTGTGTGTGTGTGGGTGTGTCGGCCGTGTGTGTGTGTGTATGCGTGCGTGTGGTGTGTGTGTGTGTGTGTGGCGTGCTGCCTGTGGGCGTGTGTGTGGCCAACAAAGACCCGCCCTGTGTGTTGTGTGTGTGTGGTGGTGTGTAGCGGGCTGTGTGCGGTGTGTGTGGTGTGTGGTGTGTGGTGTGCTCGGTGTGTGGTGTGTGTGTGTGTGTGTGCGTGTGTGTGTGTGGTGTGTGGTGTGTTCCGTGCGTTGCGTGCGTGTGTGGTGCGTGCAGATAGTTACTGTGATGAATGTCTACAGCCTTTTGTACTATACATGTGATTTCAGTGCAGCAATGGCGGCTGTCTTATCGAGCTCGCGCAGCAACTAGGCGTGATCATGATCGGCAAACAAGTTATCAACAACGTCCAAGAGATCATGGTGCCGTGAGTAATGTTCCCTGTACGGGGTCGGCGGGGGGGGGGTGATGTTTCACACATGACCAGAGAAATAACACTTACCTGGTCTATCCGATGCAGCTGAAGTGGAATGCCAATATGCCGCGTCCGCTAGCGCGAGAGTGACGCAGTTCTGCTTACCAAAGGTCACGAGAGTGACGTAATTATGGTTATAGAGGTCACGTAAGTGACGTAATTCCGGTTATGGAGGTCACGTAAGTGACGTAATTCCGCCGTTTATGGAGGTCACGGTAAGCGCACGTAATTTCTGGTTTAGAGTTCACTTAAGTGACGTGGCTATTTTATAGAGCCCGATCAGACGGTCACGCGCGTAGATTCCCCCGTCCCCCTGACCCCACGCTGGCACCACACACACACGATCACGCAGTCTGGGGGAGGCAATGCTACTGAGTCGCGCCTCACGTGTGATTAACGCGCATTTTGTGTCACATTAGATTTCGTGCACATCAGCAAACGCAGCGCATCGTGAAAGTGTCCTAAGCCACGGCCCGCAGCTCCGACATACTCTAACATCGGCCGCAGCTCCGACATACGCTGCTAGCGGCGTCAATCTCATTATCCTCCACATCCATAATGTCGCCTCTCGCTGCCCTTTTGCCTCACGCAGCAAGATAAAGCCTCTGGTTTCAAGACGCGCAAGCTGAAGACCGACCCGTTAGTCACGGCGGTAAGGATGAAGCACTCGCTGGGAAGAGATTATCAAGCTTATTCCTAACGAAAGGGCTCTTTGACGAGTTATCTTAGAGATGGTTGGTGGCCTTTCGTCGCATTTATGCCATCTGTTTATCATATATCTAATTATCATTTTCGAAATCTTGGAATCTTTTATATAGATATTGTTTTATCAAGAGCTTATATAAATTGTATTAAAGCCTCTTGGTTGTTACTGTATAGAATTATTTATGTGAGTTTGAAGAGTTTAGGTTGTCCGTGTGTAATTGACAGTAGATTTTTGTATATAAATTAATTAGTAGATCTGTAAATAAGTAAACGTAAGTATATAAGTAATAAGAAACGTAAATCAATAATAAAATATAACGAGTCATCTTCCTATCGTACGTTACGAAAAAATGCCTCAAGCCGTTCCTTTTCAGTCTTACAGTTTTGGATTCATAACGATCTCTTCGTCGCGTGCATTTCCGCTGGCGCATGTGTTCGCGCTCCTCAAACAACTGGGTGAGTATCGCGCCTTGACGCGTCACAAGATTCGCGTCTGCGAGAGCTACGCCGTACCGTGGCCGAGCGTGCCAGAACATCGCATCTGGTTCCACAGTCTCCTCGACTCCATACGCACAGATCGCTGTCTTAGCAAACGTGAGTTAGCGCCATCTATTCGGGCTGGCCATGCGGTGTGTCTTGGTGGAAGGTGAGAGAAGAGAGTCCTGTCGACGTACGCCGTGAAGAAAGATCATTAAAAAATTCGAAAGGTAAAAAAAAATAAAGAAGTTGAGTATACGTTGTTAGTACGATGACGTTAGCAACGGAGTAGCCGATGACCGTTGTGATGACGCATCAATGACTTATGAATGACGTAGCCGATGACGTGTCTGGTGGTCTCACGTGTGCGGTCTGCGTGAGAGTATTGTCAACTGTTAATGATTCAGTGTTAGATCGGTGTGACCTGTGTTTTCATGCAAGGCGTTCGTGATAGCTTTCACGTCGAGTTTTTGCCGCGTGCTCACTACCAGTACGAGTACAGCTGGAATCTAGACGATACGCGACTTCAGCCTCGCTCAGCCGCTCCAACGCATCTCAATGAGACTGCAGGTGAGGACACGCGCATGCGTGCGTGCGTGGCGGACGTGCTGTTGCGTTCGCGGCGGCGTGTGTTAGGCAGTGGCGTGCGGCGTGCGTGTGCGTGCGTGTGCGTGCGGGCGGGCGTGCGTGCGGCGGCGTTGCGTGCGTGCGTGCGTGGCGTGGTGCGTCGACGTGCGTGCGTGACGTATTCTGTGCGGGCGGGCGGCCGCGTGCGTTGCACGCGTGCTGCGTATTTGTGCGTGCGTGGTCTGCGTGCGTGCGATATTGTGCAGGCGGCGGCGCGTGGCGGCGCGGGCGTGTGTGCTGTGCGCTGCGGCGGGCGGGCGGCCGGGCGTGTGTGCGGCGTGCGGAGCGGGCGCGGACGTAGTGAGCGGGCTTTATGTGAGCGGCGTACGTGGTGCGCTGCGTGGGGCGGCGTCGAAGTGTAGCGCGGGTCTCCGTGCGTGGTTTCCGGCGGGCGTAAGACGTACGCGTAACAGGAGCGCTACTAGGACGCGGTACTGTCTATATTTCGACAATTTTGTGTTGCGCGTGTGTGTGTGTGTTTGTGTCTGTGTGTGTCGGATGTGTGCGTGTGGTGCGCGCGGGCTGCAGGGGGGTGTGGGGGGGGGGGGGGGGGGGGGGGGGGGGGCGGGGGGGGGGGGGGGGGGGGGGGCGGTGGGGGGCGTGGTGGCGGTGCGTTGGGTGTGGCGGGTGGGTGGGGGGTGTGTGCGCGGTGTGGCGTGGGTGGGGCGTGGGGCTGTGTGGTTGCGTCTGCGGCGTGTCGGTGTGTGTGTCGCGTGTGTGTGTGCGCGTGCGTGTGTGGCGTGCGTGTGTGCGCCCCCGCGTGCGTTGGTGTGTGTGTGTGTGTGTGCCTTCCAGCTTCCACCCCCACCGTCCCCGTGCCAACTCGTGCCCCTCGGTGTGTGCGTGTTGTGTTTGCGCCGGTGGCGACTCCCTTCGGTGTGTGTGGCTTCGTGCGCTTTGTTGTGTGCGCGCGCTCGCGCCGTGGACGTTTGTGGCTTGTGCTGCGTGCGTGGCGTGCGTGCGTGCTGTGTGTGGCGCTTGCGTGCGCTTGCGTTGTGTGGCGCGTGCCGTTGTGTGTGTGTGTGTGTGTGCGCTTGTGTGTGCCGCGCGCGCGCGCGGCTGTGCCGTGCGTGTGTGTGTGTGTGTGTGTGTGTGTGCTGTCGGCGTGCGTGTGTTGCGCGCGCGTCGTGTCCGTGTGTCGGTGTGTGCCGGTGCAGCGCGTGCGTGTGTGCCACGTGTGTGTGCGCGGCGCGTGGTGTGGGCTGTGGCGTGCTGTGCGTGCGTGTGTATGTGTGTGTACGCGCCCGTGCGTGTGTGTGTGCTGTTCCTGTCGCGCGCGCGTGCGTGGCGTGTGATGTGCGCGCCGTGCGTGGCGCTGCGTGCGTGTGATATACTATGTACGTAATCACCGCTGTCGTTCTCCAGATACGAGAGCTTCAGAACGACAAGCGATGGAAACCGGACAATGTTCTTATTGGCGTTCTGCTTGCCATCAGATCTGTTCGTCATTTGCGCGTTGAGCAGTAAACACGCGCATATACAATCCGAAACACGAACCTAAAAACGATAATCAATATAGTTTCGGCTGGACGGCCCAAGTCTATCTTACATGTCTTAGACAGAAATTACATTGCCGGTGTTCGTGGCATCTGATTCTAATTCACTGAATGCTACGTTAATTTGCCTGCAGCACATATTAAAGGGAACTGGATAAAGAAGAAACTAGCACAGGCCCCATTCTAGCGGGCCAGTCTTTAATTGACGTCAGTCGGGTTCGTTTTCGACGCTCGGTCTCCAATTGTTGCTTCTCTCTCTCCTCTCTCTCTCTCCTCTCTCTCTCGCTCTCTCTCTCTCTCTCTCTCTCGCTCCTCTCGTCTCTCTTCTTCTCATTCTCTCTCTTTTTCCCTCTCTCTCTTTCGATTCTCGTCCGTCTCCTGCCCGACAGCAGTGCATAGCCTCCGCTAAGCGGCCGCCGTCTACATGTGACTAACGACTCGTTTGTTACTTTCAGCCACGTCAGTCTTCGCGTGTGTGTCGTCCTCAATTTGACTTTTGTTGTACCGGATGTGCCTTGAGAGCCCTCCGAACTGCAAGGATCAAGCGCAGGAGCGAGTACCTAGCCGCAACAAGCGCTAGCGGACTTTCCGATACGATAATGAAAGGTGACGTGTGTGTGGTTGAGTGAGTCACCCTGCCGTGTCCATAGAAAATCCCAATGGCTTGCAAATAAATACCTGAAAAACGTGCCGGATTCAATGTAAAGTTGCAGCTTATAGTAGACTAGAACTAAAAAGATAATGTTCCCTTACCTCTTTATGATTTGAAGTTGATACTCTGGTGATGTATAAAGTGCCTTGAATAAGTCTTCCCAAGTGAAAATTCGTTTTTTAATCCGATTAGTATTCACTTAATTGCACAGTGGTTCTCCGAAGAGGTGGGCACCAATCCCTGATCAACAATTACTGTGGTTATCCCACAAAAATCTTGATAACCCATTGCCTTCTGAATAGGTCGCCTGCCAGCGACACCGATGACGCATGCCACGAGCGGACGACGATGGCGGCATCGCGCACGGCGGCCCAGACACAAGTGCGCATGCGCCGTACCGGGACGGGCTCCGCGGGATAGCGACTGCCTGTGTGTAGCTGTGTGTAGAGATTATAGCGGCCACCTAGCGCCGCAGCTAAGCTGGCCGATGTATGCCATTACACGTGTGCTGACTGTATAGTGCAGTCATTGTTGGCACCCATGTTTCTTCTGGTATAATGTTGTACATAGCACAGACGGCGTAGAACATATCGTGAGTGCTGCAAAGAAAATCATCTATGATAACACATATTGTTCTATCTACTTGATTTGGTTAGAATGTTAGATATGCTTAATAGAATATTAAGCCAGAACCTATTCGCCCCACAGAGGTGCGCGCTAACGAAACATCGTGTTGTGCACAGCCTGTGTAACGGTAACCATGGAGTGCCTGCCGCACAAGGGGGCGCTCGTGTGCAATGCGCGTCTGTGTATAGGCGGGCGGCTGTGTTGGCCAGCTGCGCTCTGGTATAGGGGGCGCTGCTGATGCAGTGCACTTCTGCTGTATAGCGCGGCGCTTGGTGCAGTGCGCTACTGTGTATAGGGGGCGCTGACTGTGCAGTGGCTCTCGGTATAGTGGCGGCGCTGGTGTGCAGTTGCGCCTCTGTGTATTAGCGCGGGCGCTGCTGTGCCAGATGCCCGCTCTGGGTATAGGGGCGCTGGCTGTGCAATGCACGCTGTTGTTATAGGCGGTGCGCTTGTGTGCAGCTGCGCTCTGTGATAATAGGGGGCGCTTGTGATGCAGTGCGCCTCTGTGTATAGGGGGCGCTTGTGGTGCGCCGAGTCGTGCCTCTGTGGTCTGCTGTATGGGTCTGGAATTTAATTCCTGTTGCAATTATGTGCTATTCTACCCTTGATAACAGAACACATTTCAATGATTTACCATCTGCTATTGATTACCACTTTGCACCGCTCCCCCCATTCCGCACCGTCCCCTCCCACCCCTCCCCTACACCCTCCCACGGCGCTCCCTCCCCTCTCCACCTTCCCCTCGCCACCCTCCCTCACACCCTCGCCACCCTCCCATCCCCCTCCCACCCTCCCCTCGACACACATCACTCTCCCGTCAAACCACACACTCGCTGTCCCCCTCCCCCTCACCACCCTCCCACCCTCCCTCCGCGCCCTCCCCACCCTCCCTCACACACACCCTCCCCTCACATTACACCCACACACGCCTGCCCTCACACACACAGGCTCGATGCCGCGCTCACGCCGCGCGATTATCACGGCACCACATGTTCCCCTCGACGCACGCGAGCCACGACCTGCGCGCGTGCGACACACACAGTAACACACAACTACGCCGCCGCGCCAGAACATACGATGACATACACACAGGCACGCCACGCACACATACACAGCACAGTGCACGCACACACACACACGACACACACACACACACACACCACACACACACACACACCACACACACACCCACACTACGACCACACCACACACACACACAGCACACACGCACAGCTCACGCACCACACACACAACACACATCACACACAACACACACCACACACAATAGTTGTCTATCAGGTGTTGATTACTTAGCCTCCTTAAACATCAAGCCGGGCAGTATCTGACAGCGGCTTGCTAAACCGCCTGCATTTGTGGCGACATGGCCAGTCACAGATACTCGCTTGTCATTCGACACGACCACTTCGGCTATTCACATGGCGCGCCCTGCTCGCCTGTACGGCGGATACCGGTTAGTATCGCGTGCTGTTACACACACTAGCGGCGGATCTATGGTTTGCCAGGGTGTCGGTCGTGAAGCTGTGGTCGAACCGCATCGGCAACACGTGTCTAATGTATATCATTCCTGAATTCGCTGCGAATTGCTTATTGTGTTCTACGGTTCGATGCGCTGAGTATCAACATTAATTACAAACCAACTTTATTACGCCGTCTGCTGACAGGCCGCAATAGCATGCGGGTGATTATTTCACGCGCGTGCGGCATATAAAGCATATAAGATATAGAATATGATACCACCCTAGTATATTACTATCTTATTGTATTCAGCGTACAATTACGTTCTATCACAATAAAGAACAAACGTATATTGCAAAAAAGTTAGCGAGCGTCTCTAGTAAAACAGATGTGATATCGTTTTCTCTCGGTATATTTATCGTCAGTATTCATGTCACTGTATCCGATACCCATCGTCCTATATCACTGCTATCCGATCGACCAATCATCTAGTGTCACTGTAGTCGATACACATCGTCCCTAGTGTCAAGCTGTATATCCGGATACCATCGCCGCGCCCCGGGATGGTCTATCGTCACTGTATCGACTACCATCGCTCTCAGATGATCACTGCTATCGATATCATCGTCCTCTATCGTCAGCCTGATATCGACTACTCATCCCTGCTAGTTATTTCACAAATAAACGTCAGTAAGCAACGTCATAGCCAGCGTCTTAGCCACGTTCATATAACGATGCAACATTCATAATATTTATTTTAAGCGATAATCTTTGGTACCACTCAGGCACGACGACACAGCCACATCACACACACACACAAGCCACACACACACACGACCACACATCACATCAACACACACACACGCGGTACACGCGCACCACACGACGCACACGCACACGCACACACACATCACACAGCACACAGCACACACACACACACACACACACACACACACGACACGCACACGCACACACACACATGCGCGCGCGCGCCGTCGGCGTACATCGATACGTACATCGGTAGGTTTATATGTATACCGTCAGGATATAAAATACATCGTCGTTTTTTTTATCTAAGCCTACATCGATATTGTATGTATTATATGGTACATTCGTAGTTATATAGTTGTACATGAGGACGGTACTGGCGTATCGTAGGTGCGACCCAAGCGTTGTGGCGTTGACTGTCTAGGCGATCGATGTTGACGCGATAAATCTCCGCGCCAAACACGGGCTACTCAAGTCGCCAGCTGTTTCCGACCGTCCCTTATCTATCATATGCTTGTCGAAACGGGACAGCTCGCCGTTTGATCACAAGATGGCCGCGCTACGCACCGACAACCGCTGAGAGTTTAACTTAGAAATTAGAAAATAGCGGTTAGATACGAGACGGAGGCAGTATATAGATAATATATATATTATATACTATATATACAGTATACTATATGTTGAAATATATATATATATATATATATATAGTATAATACTATATATATGAAACTGAGTTCATTAGTGGGCCACAGTATAGATAGTAAGTGAGAGTTGATGGTTGCATGAAGATAGGTCTAGCTTTCATAGCGCATCGTTCTGCATAGATGGAAAAGATGGGGGTAATTTAGAAAACATTAGTAGTACCAAAAGCGCTAAATCTCTCTTTCACACACACACACACACACACACACACACACACACACACACACACACAATAGTTTCTATCAGTGTTATTACTTAGCTCCTTAACATCAAGCGGGAGTATTGACCAGCGCTTGCTAAACCGCCTGCATTTAGTTTGCACATGCAGTCACAGATATCGCTGTCATTCGACACGACACTTGCTATTCAACATGGCGGCCCTGCTCCCTGTACGGCGATACCTATAGTATCCGCGTGTTACACACACTAGCGGCGATCTATGGTTGCAGGGTGTCGTCTGAGCTGTGCGGAACCATGGCAACACGTGTCGTAAATGTAATCATTCCTGAATTCGCTGCGATTGCTTATTGTGTTCTAGGTTCGATGCGCTGATATCAAATTAATTACAAACAACTTTATACGCGTCTGCTGAAGCCGCAATAGATGCGTGATTTTTCCTCATATAAAATATAAATATAAATATATACATATATATATATTTGTTGTATCACTAAATTACGTTATATCACAAAAAACACAAACGTATATTGCTAATAAAAGTTAGCGAGCGTCAGTAAAAACAGATGTGATATTTTCTCTCGTATTTTATCGTCTATATCACTGTATCGATACCATCGTCTATATCACTGTATCGATACCATCATCTATGTCACTGTATCGATACCATCGTCTATGTCAATGTATCGATACCATCGTCTATGTCACTGTATCGATACCATCGTCTATGTCACTGTATCGATACCATCGTCTATATGTCACTGTATCGATATCATCGTCTATGTCACTGTATCGATACCATCCTGAGTTTTTCCCACAATAAACCGTCATAGCACGTCATAGCCACGTCATAGCCACGTCAGATAACGATGCAACATCATAATTATTTATTTTAATGCGTGTGTGTATACATGTACGTAATCACCGGCTGTGTTCTCCAGATACCGAGACTTCAGAGACAAGGATGGAAACCGGACAATGTTCTATTGGCGTCTGCTTGCCATCAGACTCTGCTTCGTCATTGCGTTTGAGGTAAACACGCGCAATATACATCAAACACGAACGTAAACGTAATCAATATAGTTTCGGCTGGACGGCCAAGTCTATCTTTACATGTTCTATAGACATAATTACATTGGGTTTCGTCGTCTTTCTAATATACTGATGCTACCGTTAATTTGCTGCAGCCACGATAGCGGCCAGGTCTTATTGACGTCATTCGTTCGTTTTCGACGCTCGTCTCTCATTTTTGCTCTCTCTCTCTCTTTCCCTCTCTCTCTTTCATTCTCTCTCTCCTGCCCGACAGCAGCTGATAGCTCCCCCTAGCGGCGTTACATGTGACTAACGACGTGTTACTTTCAGCACGTCGTCTTCGGTGTGTGTCGTCTCATTGACCTTTGTGTACCGGATGTGCCTGAGAGCCTCGAACTGAAGATCAAGCGAGAGCGATACCTAGCCAAGCAAGCGCTAGCGGACTCCGATACGATAATGAAAGTACGTGTGTGTGGTTGAGTGAGTCACGTGTCATAGAAAATCCAAGGTTGAAATAAATACTAAAAACGTCGATTATTAAAGTTGAGCTATAGTAGATAGAAACTAAAAAGATAATGTTCTTATCTTTATGATTTAAGTGATACTTCTGGTGATGTATAAAGTGCTTGAATTAAGCTTCCAATAAAATCGTTTTTAATCCGATTATTTATTCACTTAATTGAAGTGGTTCTGCCGAAATGGCATCAAGATAACAATTATGTGGTTCCCACAAAATCTTAACCATTGCTTTAATAGGTCGCTCAGCGAACTGATGACGATGACGACGACGACGATGACGATGGCGAGGCGACACAAGTGCGCATGCGCGTACCGGACGGGCTCCCGGGATAGCGACTGCTGTGTAGCTGTGTGTAGAGATATAGCGCCACCTAGCGAGCTAGCCTGCCGATGTACTGCCATACACGTGTCTGTGTATAGTGAGTCATTGTTGCCACCCATGTTCTTCTGTATAAATGTTGTACATAGCACGACCGCGTAACATTATGTGATGCTGCAAAGAAAATCATCTATGATAACAATATTGTTCATCTATTGATTTGTTAGAATGTTAAGAATGCTTATAGAATATTAAGCAGAACCTATTCGCCCACAGAGGGCGCTACGAAACATCGTGTGTGCACAGTGTGTAAGGTAACCATGGAGTGCTGCGCACAGGGGGCGCTGTGTGCAATGCGCTCTGTGTATAGGGGGCGCTGTGTGCAGTGCGCTCTGTGTATAGGGGGCGCTGTGTGCAGTGCGCTCTGTGTATAGGGGGCGCTGTGTGCAGTGCGCTCTGTG